GGCCGCGGGGGCGGAGCCGCTGTCCGCGGTGCTGAGGGCGCCGGCCCCGCGGCTTCCTTGGGGGGGGGGCTCTGGAGAACCCGGGTCTCTCGCTTTTCCTTTTTTCCTCCCCTTTCCTCCCCCCTCCAGGATACCGATGAAAGGATTATATTCAACTGAAACGGTATCATTCTAGGACTGTAGTGCATGTGCAATTTGCTGCATAATGGAAAAAAAACAACCAAACAAACAAAAAACCCAAAACAATCAGGCTCCTGAAATGAAATTGCATGCAAGGGATATTTGTATTTCTTCTGTGGGAAAGGTTAATAGATCTAAATGTAAAGTAATGCTGTGTGATGGGAGGCTATCTAATGCTAAACCCACGTTAATTCTAAATAAAAATATGATTAATGCACGTGCTCTGAGCAGCAGAAGAACTAATAGGATTTAGCTGCTTGTGCTGAAATTTTTTACTGTTGCTGAACACAGACTGATTAATTCAGGGTGAATAAGTTGCTTCTTTTAAGAATGCTATATGGGCAATATTCCGTTCTTAGAGAACAGCCAGAAAGACTGGCCAGAAGCAGCTCCTTCTGAAATGTGTGACAGTCATTCCTTATACTATGAGTTATACAACTTTGTAATCTTGGTCTTGATTAAACAGCTGTATATTTGGAATAGTATTTGTTCAGTTTACTGTTACATGGTAGGGAAAGCTTGGTAAAGGATCAGTGTCCTTTTTAACAAGAGTTTTCTGCTGTTTCCTTACTACCTTAGTAAATAAAAATACCTAATGTATTGTAAGTGATTCTGGATTTTAGTAAGAGTTGCTTCTGTCTTTTGTGACAAGAAAATTTGTTGGTAACATGGCTTGTGAGCTCAGTTTCTTAGAATAGTTTGGAGATGGACTACTTTTACTCTCAGCTGTTAGTATCACCAGGGAAGAAGTAGGAATAAATTCTGATGGATGCAGGCAAGGCTAAAACAAAATGTATTTTCTTTAGTAAATTGTTTTCACCCTTAGGCTGCGCTTTTCAGTTTCAGTGTATGTTGCCTCTTACTCTAATGGATGTTATTTTGCCCTTTTCTTGGCCGTGGAAGAGCAATATGCTCACATTCTTGTGTCTGCAAATCCAGTCTTTCAAACTTTAAGTCATCCTGATTTCAGCACACCATATCTAATGAGCAACTTACATCTTATAATGCTTTCAGCTCTGGTCTAGGCACTGAAAGGGATAGTGTTCTGAAAACTGATACAATTTTAAAGGTCAGATCCCATAAAAAACATAGTGATGTTATCAGTTGTTGATAACTGATAGGGATTCATTGACTTTGTGATCGATAGCAGACCTGTGCCTCCTACTGAATCTGGCTTTGAGCAGATGACACAAACTTGCTCTGAATGTCCCTTCAGCATACTGATGGCAATTGCCCTCCCCCTGCCCTCCACAAACACATCTATCCACAACAGGCTGCTTTTTTAATTGGTACCTAAAAAAATCAGACTGCACTCGTACTGGAAAGTGCTATCTGTAGGTGGGGCTGTAATTGGTTATACTTTTTATTATTAATTTCCAAACCTCCAATAAAAACACTGGGCGTGACTCTACCTCTCCCTTGACTGCAAAGAGTAATTAACTGATCAGATCTGTTTTCTTTTGATTGTCCTGTGGACTGAAAGATAACGATGTGCAATGTGGAGGATATTCCTGCTAGAGACAGTATTTCTGCAAATCCTGCAAAGCATAACTAATGAACTGTAGAGTACCATCTGACATTCAGTGAGCAGGCTGCCTGCTCTGTCTTCCCCCACACCATGTGCATACACATGTACTCACGTTCTGTATTTTATGCTGTGATCAAAACCAGTCTTCAGTTAATGTTTTAGTAACTTTTCTTTCTCATTGTTCTTACTAGCAGCAGTAACATTTGCAATTTGAATCTGTGTCAGGAAGCACATTTCCTTTCTTAAAGGAAATCTGCATGAATTTAGAGGCCACAGAAAAGGATGGTTGGCAGTTTGCTTTGCTTGAGTCTGCCAGAGAAAACCGGCTACAAGACAGATGCTGACTTATTTAAAAACAAACAAACAAAATACCAAGTCTTGTGTTTCTTCTCTTTCCAAATACGTAATCTTGAGGAATGTGTTCAAGCATCTGGCTAATTCACGTACCATTAATTCTCTAAAGATTACATATGCACACCCAATTAGACCAGCATCATTTATTTAAAATATGAATGTAATCTTGTATTTATATTTTATAGCTGTGCCAAATTGTTAAAGAACATAGAAGAAGGATTTTTATAAGCAAAACGTGCAGAGTTGTTCTTCTAGAAAAGTTGAAAGCATCAGCGGGGCCATACCAAAGCTTAGTTTAAAAAACCATAAACACACTTTTTTGCTATTAGTGAATGGGTAAATGGCTTTTTGAAGACATGAATGAATGCTTTTTAGAAACTCTGATACAGCCTGTCTTCGTATAGGAGCTAGGAGAGTGGGCGCCAACCCTGATGTCTAAGTCCTTTTGTATTGCAGTAATGTGAGTTACCTTCCCTTTGTATCCATTTTGTAGACTGCAGTGAGTTGCTGCCAGCTGCAGTTTCTCAAGGATTTAACAGTCTTAAACAACTACAAGCACATAATCATCCTCCAGAGGCTCTGTGCGGATGAGCCTGATGCTGATGGTGTACATCCCTTCTCACCCTTGTCTGTCTCTCCACCAACTTAACTAAGAGACCAGTACCACTCAGAAGGAAAATTTGGATCGTGACAAGAGACAGATGATTATAGCCTGCTTCAGAGGATGTGTGTGGGATGGGCAAGACTAATCCGTGCCCAACTGCCCTGTTAATTGGTACTCTGGTACCTTAGTGTTAAAGAGGCTCAGATCCTTGGACTCAATGATGTTGTTGTCTTACTTTTAGCGGTGAATTCCTGCAAGGCCTCCTAACCAGCAGTAGAGATGGTGGTTAGTAGCCGCCTGCTTTATGTCAGGGTTTACCAGCATAAAGTTATGATGGAGATTGGTCAGATTTTTATCCGAGCAGGGACCACAGCGGCTTGCCCTGACAGTCACGTATATTGGATTTGGCTGGGCTGCTCACATTTGAGGTCCTCTTGCTTGTTTGCCTGATTCCCATGTAGGAGAGCTGAACAACTGCCATGCAGTATTCATAGCACTGTGATATTAAAAAAAGGCAGAAACGGGATCAGTACCCGCTGTTCCAGGTCCCATATAAAAACAAAGTCTGGGAACCGAAGGATTTTTAGTGCAGGTATCTAAGCTCTGTATGCTAGAAGGAACTGTTCCTTGCAAAACTTTCTCAGGCTGGAGCCTTTCTTATGTCAGCATATTGTCTGTCTGAAACAGAGAATTGTCAAGAAGCAGAAACAAAAATCTTGCAACTTGGGAGATGTGGGAAGGAGGAATCTTCCCAACTCATTTTAGAACGTGTAAAATTGATTAAAATACAGGGAGGAGGGTGAGCAAAATGAGTGCTGGATATAAATGTCTCCTTTACACTTGTAAAGGGTATGGTAGGCTCCACGTGCTCAGAAACATTTCTGGGAAAACATCAATTAAAATGCTCGAGACTGACAAAGGCTGTTGAGGTAAACAGTGACTCATACTGGTTGAGAAGCAGGAAGGAAAAACGTTTAATGGCGTACACCCCAAGCTGGACTCTGAAATAAGGCTTCCCAAGGGGTTGACCTGCAGGCGCTGGGATTTTTAACCAGTGCTTCCTGATCCGCAGCCTTCAAAGGTGAAGAGCCAAAGTATTTTTCACTAACTGGGCAGCAGACCTGCTGGGTTTACAATGCATATGTTTGCAGGGTGTTAGGGAGACAAACTTGGCATATTTCTCATTTTAGAGTAAGAGGAAACAGCCAACTGATGAAAATATTCAGAAAGAAGGGTTAAGAAGTTGGACGCTTTGAAGGAGGGAGGAAAAAGGGGAATAGTATAAATATGGAGATGGATCTTTGAACACCACTTGCTCCAGCAGCAGCTACAGAGCCCTCCTGCTTATACTGTCTGGACCACAGCATCGATTTGAGAGGGAAATGAGGCTTCTGCTGCGTTTACCCAAAGGAAGAAGCTCCAGTCTTTTCAATAGAGGCAAAAGCTTGTGCATCTTGAAGACTGGTGTGAGCCTGTTGTATTAGTGGAAAGGCCTGACAGCATGCATCAAAAGTGTCTTCTCCTCCTCCCCCCATTTCCTGTACTGCTCTTAACAATTTAATCTATAGCAGTTTGTCTTCATGGGCTGTAATTGATCTGTCTGTGATTTAGCTCATCAGATGCTCGTTAAAGAGCTTGCAGCCTTTCTTATTCATGAGGAGTGAGAGTCAGGAATCTAAAAACACTTTGTCTTTGTCTTAACTGGATTCATTTAGTATTCTGGGATTTGGGGAGGCTAATAAACTTATATGAGCTATTATTTAAAGGTGAGCTGCCAAGTGAACGTGAAGGATGATCCAAGCACCGCCAGTGTGCCGAACGCTCTCCCACATGAAGTGTCAGGTCTGAGCAGCAGAGGGAATTGTTGCTAAACCCCCAACAAGATATTCCTGCCTTCTCTGTGGAGGGTGTCCCACAGCGCCCTGGCCGTGTGTAATCGGATAATGCAGCTTGCGGTGAAGCTCCTGGAGCTATGTCTGCAACGAAGTCGGCATTTTATGCTCGCGATGTCAGCAGGATACGCAGGAATATTTTGTGCATTGTAGAGTTTGGGCTTGACGTCTGGTTTTCTTTTTTTAAGCGCCGCTATTGTTCTGAGCTGTCGTCTGTACTCTGCCAGTTCCCGTAACGATGTGCGCTTCCCACGTTGCCTGCACACACATGCTGAGAAAATGCTTGTCGCCGTCCTTTAACAAGGATACGCTGGCAATCTTCAAAAGAGAACAATACCCCTGGGCTGCAGAAAGCAGTTTCCTTTCCCTGGTACTTTAATGAACACTTGAGATATTTCCAAGCTGTAGGAAGAGGAGATGGGATGGATGGGTTCTCCATCCTGCTTCTTTCTGAGCCTGGGTCCACATGCCAGAGACTTCCAGAAAGATGAATAATACCCTGCAGTTACTGAATTTACTGTGCAGTCATATGCATAGTGTCATCAAACTGGCTATGCCTTGGAGGCCTCTTAAGTGACTATAACCACGAATGGGCTTTTAAGGTCTCTGTGGTTTTTTAAGACGGCACTTCTGCCAGGGAACACACAGCTGGATCCTGTGCCTGCACCAAATGTACTGACTTTGTTCATGAATAGTGGGAAGCTGTGAGGCCCCACAGACAAAGCCCTGCATGAGGGATCTGAACCCTGGCAGGGCACGCTGCCATTTGTATGAACTGGCTTCCCAGTTGATGTGTGTGTCGAGATTGGGAAATCTTTGGGAATATAAACCTTCCCTAATTGCTCAAAGTCACAATATTTATAAATACTCTGTGCTTGCATTTACAATTGTACGCTGTCCTATGTAAATATTAATACCATATTTTTCTTTCTTTGTAGTGTACAGAGGCCAAAAAGCACTGCTGGTACTTTGAAGGATTATATCCTACATATTATATGTAAGTAGTCATCACTTCACTTTTTGCATTTTCTAGTGCTCAAGAGAGAATTAGATTCTGTAGGCTCTTAGATTGTTGTTCTTTCACTAATTATACTTTTCCCATAACTTCTCTGAGACTTTTTTAAATTTAAAAATGAAGGTGCAATAAATTTTCCTTTCCCTCCTTCTCCATGTCCCATCTCTTTCCCTTTCTCCTTATTAAAACAAGTGTACAGTCTCATTTTGCCACCCAATCCAGGTGACCTTTCCAATTGAAAACAAAATGCAAGATCTTACACAGCTCTTATTTCAGAACACTGAAAGGAAACATAAGTAGAGCCATGTGAGGACAGTTCTCCCTTTGTTTTGAACAAGGGCAGGTAATCAGGAAGTATATCAAGAATGCTTTGAAAGTAAGTTTGTCCTTGTGCTAATATTGTTGTTTAAATTAGGGCATTGGTTTGATTTGTTATCCGTGGCATAACTGTCCTTTTTGATGAGTGGCATCTACATTCATATTAGGCTTTGGTGTGAATCAGATGCCAGTGACCTGTAGGCTCATGATTGAGGTTTGTTCTGAGTTGCAGTTTTCTGTTTTAAATTGCCCACGGCAACAACAAAAAGGTGGAGGAAATGTGTGGGTGGGAGGTATCCTCCCTGTGGATTTGGGGGCAGAAAGGAGATAAACATACTAAACTTTGTCCCGGGATTGTATAACTTCATAATTGCAAACACCTGTAAACATAAGTTTAAAAAAAAAATAAAGTGAGGTGGAGGGAGTAGTTTGCAGCATTAGGTCATCTGGTCCCTGAGCAAGCTCTTTCTTGCTGAAGGATTGCAAATTATTCTAATCCTTATGCTGCCCAGGAACTTTCCTCCCTTTTCTTCTCTACCTCCACTTTGTCTGCCAGAAATGGGAGAGAAATACTAGAGACAAAAAGCAGCCAGGAAGCCAGGTGAGAAACAAAGCTCACTGAAAGAATGAAACACTGTGATCCTGACTATTAACTGCTTAGGAAGTGTTTGTGCCTGGAACTTGCTGTCTTTTTTTCAGGTGACTGAAATGTTAAGAATTACTCATAAATGCTTGGCCAGAACAGATGGGTGAATTTAAATAAGTTCATTTTCTTTGCATGCAAATAACAACAGGACTTTGGTTCCACCTACATTTTATTTGGTTTTGCTGCCGTGGGGGAAAGAAGCTGGGACGTTACGAAATTATGAAAATCCCACTGTACCTTGACATTCAGGGGTGGTTTTCATCATCACCTTGGTGTTCTGCTTACGTTTCTGCCCACATGCTTTCGCAGCCAATGTTTGTCTTCCTTGGTAACACAAAGGGAGACTTGAGCTACTTGGATATTGGGTGCTAGCTCAGAGTCTTCATGTTGGGGAACGGCTTGCAGAGAGCAAGGCCATAGCTCCCTGCAGAAGCTGATTGCAGCCACCTGAGGTAAACAAACGAAAAAACCCAGGGTACAGTTTTGATAACAAAGGACTGTTATGTTAACAAAGAGAGAAAGTGAGGTACATTATGACCTTGTGTATGATAAAGGAATGGCCTTGGGAAAGAAAGCAAGCCAGAAGGAAGGTGTTGTGACATGCCTGAGATACCACAAGGGGCTGGGATATTATAATGTAGCCTTTTACATGTATCCAATAGATTTGTGAGTAGTATGCATGATTATTGTAGAGTGCTTATATAAGGTGTGATTTCTTTCAATAAAGTTGAAGCTTGCTCTGTCGTTCACATTGAATCGGCTGCTTGCTTCCTCCACCTGCCGCATCTTCAGGCCACGGGTAAATACATACTGAGTCCTGAAAAAGCAAGGGGCACAAAGGGGAGGCTCGCTTATCTGCAGTAGATCTGATGCACACAAGGTTGCTTTCTAACTGGTTTCCTATTGGTAACTAGTTTACTGTTTTCTTGTGTGCTTAAATGGAGTATTTCGTAGAAAAGAAGTGTGTTTATTTTCCAGTCCATCAGAGGTTACCTGGAATTGCACATAGCTTTGAATATTGGAAGGAAGAAAGTTGTGAGGGAGACTATGGTGTTGGTGGGTTGTTGGTTGATTTGGGACATCTTCTAATGTGAAGGGAAAACTGTTGTATATTGACTATATCACGTCAATCAGAAGATTGTTACTAGCAGTTGTGTGTGTGTATGGTGGTTACTGCAACACCCTGTTAGCTGAGTCATTGCATAAACGTGTTGTGATTGCCAGTCTCCTGGATAGTGTAAGTAAATGGAAAAAGGAAGGGGAAAAGGGTGGGGTGTGTGTGCTCAGGGATTGTTGCGATGGTGATGAGTGTCACGTTAATGCTGTTGTTGTTCCTGGAGTTACGAGTTTAAGTGGGAAAGAAGAAACACTAAGGAAAGAAAATAAGGATTTGGGAATGGTAAAGTTCAGATGGTAGATAATGTGTGACAAGTGAAGAAAATTGGAAGGGAGGGGAGAGAAGGTATTTGAATGCCTAGTAGGCTTAAAGGTGGCATGCATGAAAATGATAGAATGTCATTGATGTCTGTGGCACCTGGGCTTTCCTACTTTGCTACCTCTGCAATTTGAATTTCTGTTGTCTAGGATCCCCAGCTGCTACCTACCTGTGCTGTCTTCACACACGTATGGTGGAGGAGAGGCGCAATACCAATCTCAGTATCTAGGGTGAAGTCCCATTGCTTTAGCACTTGTTTGACCCTTCCCTGAGTTAATTCAACTTGCTAATTCCACAGAAAGTTGTTCATTTTAGCACATTTGAGTCAGTGTTGAATCATCCTGGTACAGTTTTTGGCGAATGCTGGAGAAACGGGAGGAAGGGAGTATTCTGCGTATTGTGGGGGAGGAGGTATGAATAGGATCTTCCCCATTAGCATATGTCAGATGCTAAATCATCTAAGGGCATAATATGTAATGTTAGCCTGAGAGCTTCTCCTCTGTGCAAATCTAGATCTGGGATGTGCTGTAGTGAAACGGATTTTATTTTATCTTACAATTTCTGGAGCAATGGTCCAAAAGAAGCAGATATATTTAGTCAAATGAGTTCACCATAGATTTCATTCTTTTCTATCCCTGGTTTTCTGACAGAAGTTTTTTCTACCCAGTTAACATATGTAGTCTGTCCTTTGGTCTTGAGACTATCTCTGGAGACTTATGAAACCCAGCACTGCAATCCTTTTTAGTGATTTCCCTGTGATTTCAGTCCCATGCTGGCACTATGTCACGTCTCTCTTGGAGACACTTTGTGTTCTAATGAAAAGGTTGGCTTGTCAGCTCAGAAATACCAAGTCCTGCATCTGTTCACGCATCTAGTGTGGCATACTTGGACCAAGGCATGCTTGGACTGATATGTCCATATGCCTTATCCCTTCTGGGTAGGCACGTCCTCCTAGAAGGTGTCTGCTTCTCTTTAAATTGCCCAGAGTAATAGAAATCCAAGGTGGACTGTCACATAAAATGGTTGTTTGCTTTTATCAGAAGTTTAAAGGCAAGATAGCTGAGTTAATCTTTCCTGTAAAGGCTCTGCTTCAGCCATCCAAAGACAGAGATAAGACTGTGTCTGCTAAGCAAAAGGAACATGGGATAAGAAATCAGTGTGCCAAAAAAAGTGTACTGGAAATTCAGCCAGATTGGGGGTAAAACTTGAAGTAGTATGACTGTTCTTCTTTTTGAGCTTAAGTCTTTTTTTAGTTTTTGATTCAATCTGTCTTCCAGTGTAACTATTTAAAAAAGAAAAAAGCTGTTACAGATGTTGCTCAAAACTCTTTAAAAACTTGTCAGTTATGCTTTCTGTATTAACAGCTAAGGCAAAGGTTGGAGGTCTCTGTTATAGAACTAATGATACATCTCTCTCTCCAAATAATTAATGATATTAGTACCTTTTAAAAATTATTTTTCCAGTGGACATAATTGTTCTAGCCTTCACAGAGCCACAGCAAGGTTTAGTTTAATTCAAACATGTTTCTTCCAAATATAAATCCATTTCTTAAGACTTAAAGTGAGGAATTACCATTTTCCAATCTTTTCTACCTCTGTTGTGTGAATAAGTTTATAGCTTATTTCAGACCAGAAGCCATCATGGGAAGCTTGCCAGGAATTTGAGACATACATTAATCTTCTACTGTTGATACAGAGAATTTCCAGGACTGAGCTTAACGTACTTCACTAACCAAACCAACTATTTCTCCATGTCCTAGTTGCCTGACTCACAAGATTTTTGTCAGATACTTTTCTCCTGCTTCAGCAAATAATTTATTTATGTGGCCTGGAAAAATAAGTAAACAAATATAAAGCAGAGAAAGGAATTAGTCATTGGAGTCTAATTCTTATCCTTTGGAAAATCAGGGAGCCAAGTTATCCCTGACTTTGCTTAAAGAATTAGATCATACATCTCCTTGTGTGGGTGCACAGAAAGCAATTTAGAATTAAAGCTGTCTCAACAGACTTTACTCTCATCTCCACAAGGATCTTCATCCTACTCTCACTCAAATAAGACAGCTCAGGCTTATTCTAGATGTACCTCAAGTGCTGATGGTTGGCAGAAGATATGGTCAAGATATTCTCTTACTTGGCAATAATGTGAATGATGACATAGTGAATGCATTAGATTGCAAAACTGCCTCCTCTGTATGCAGATGCCAGCAGCACTTAAGATACTCCTGCTGTTTTTCTACTTCGGAACTGGGAATGAATAGTAGAGGGAAGTCTGCCTTACACTTTACTGATTAGGAGTAGTTTGATTAGAATGATTTGAGAATGTTCCCCTCACTGCAGGGTGAAGTATATTCCCTGGTATGACTGGCCAACCCCATAGGTCTTTACTGTTTGTTTTGCTTCCTGTTGTTAGCTACCATCACAATGGAGCTTTTAATGAAGTGATAAATTCCAGATACTAGAACCTGCGTGTTTCTAATCCTCTCCTTTCCAGTGATGTTTATAAAGCAGCACAAATATTTTTGAGTATGAGTGGTAAGCATGTGGCCACAGCAATAGAATACCATGGCTGATGTCACTGGGTCAG